TATATATATATATATGTACATATGTATATATTAAAAAATTAATCTCGCTCGAGTACTTATTACACAAATAGTAATCGAAAAGTTTTTGAATAAAATATTTGTTAAGTAAAATATATTTTTCGTAAACTAAACGTTTTTTTTAATAAATTTTAGAATAGTATTTTTAAAGACGCGTGCCTTCTAAAAAAATAAATAAAATATGAGATAAATATAATTTCATATTTCTTTAGATATCATAAATATTTATTTCCGAAAACAATTCTACTTAAGTCGAGATTACTTATATATAACATTTTTTCCTTTAAATTTTTAATGTTATCATATATTATGACTTGAATTCATAACTACCCCCTATGAATCATAATTTTTTGATTTTTTTACACCAATTTTTCTTTATTTTTTTAAACTTTTCTTTTTTTCCAATTTTTTATTTGATGTTTTACACATTTTAAGTGATATCAATTACTTTTTTATGTATATTCTTGACAATTATTCCTACTCCATAGTTATAATTGTTCTTATTCTACGTATTTTAAAATATTAAATGAAAGTATTTTAGACCAAATATATTAGTATTAAATATTTTTTAAAGGGCATAAAAAACCTTAATAAAAAAAATTTATTGTCCAAATGTGAAGGGTTAATACAATAAGTTAAATTATTGGCTTTTAGCAATAATTATGTATATGGTGGTTAAGGTGTGTTATGGGACTCTGAGAGTTTAGGGACTCTCGGAGCTTGGTTGGCTTTGACGATCTCTGGCTAGATGTCCGATTGACATTAAGAAAGGAAAGTATGCAATGTTTCTGTTTATAAATGAGTCTCATAAGTTCATGTCCTTCAAAACTTTAGAGAGAGAATTATAGGGAAAGACTTTGACTTGAAGCTTACTTTTTCCTCCCTTCTTTCTAGATCTTTCTAGTGTGTGAGATTCATAGTTAGAGGATGTTGATTCGATGTTTGAGCTAAGAATTTGAGTCTAGGTGGTTGTAACACTACACCAAAAGTGGCATTAGATAGCGCTATTTAGAGAGCGCTTAATTAATAAATGTTGTGTTTTAAAACATAAAACATTAAAAGAGCGCTTAATTAAATAAACGCCATAATAAGGTTTTATATAGAGAGCGCTTATTAAAAAAAATGCTATCTTTGTATTATTTTATTTATGAAAAAATATGTTATAGCACTTTTTTAAAAAAGTGCTTTCTAAAAAAAATAAATAGATAGCGCGTTTGAATAGAAACGTTATTTATAAGATTTTATAAAAAGTTTTATATAGAGAGGGTTTAATAAAAAAATGCTTTCTTTGTGTTATTTTATTTAGAAAAAATATGTTATAGTGCTTTTCTAAAAAAGTGCTTTCTAAAGAGAATAAATAGATAGCGCGTGTGAATAGAAGCGTCATTTATAAAATTTTATAAATTAATTATTTTTTTAAAAAATTATTATGGCGCTCATTGAAAAATCAGTTTTGTAAATAAATAAAAACAAAGCACTTATTAAAAAAAACGCTTTCTATTGGTCCCTCACGCTTTTTATTAAAAAAATTAATCTGAACAGATTTTTATTCACGCTTTCTATTAATTGGTCCCTCACGTACGTTCACATTGTTATACTGTTCAGATTTTTATTCACACTTTCTATTAATTGGTCCCTGATCACGTTCACATTGTTATTCACTGTTCAGATTTTTATTCACTGTCTCTAGCCTTTCGGTTCTTTTCCTATTCTCTAGCCTCTCGGTTCTTTTCTTATTCATTGTCCCTCTCGGTTCTTTTCTTATTCACTGTCCCTCTCGACCTTCATGCCATAATCATCTTTATCCCTCCCGATTGTGAAATCTTCCTTCACCATCGTTGTTGTTCGATCGTAAAGTGTATCTCAAGTTACGCTCAGCAATCACGTTATTGACTCATATTTCAGGTTTTTATCATTAGGTGTTT